TGTTGTCTTTTAATTCCCTGTCAGTTTGAATTGGCATGTCCCAGAGGATACTTACATCATTGTTTAGGGTACCTGTGTCGGGTTGGTGCTCATACTATCTCTCAGTGGTTTCGGATTTGTGATTCTTGCATATATTCCACTGCAAATATGTCGATATCTTGTTATGTCTGTCAGTATATTCATTTTTTGCCAGTTCCGGACATGTTGATATAATATGGTCGAGAGTTTCATCATATTTTCCTTAGATGCTCCATTTTGAGTTAGTTCCATTCTTGATTATGTTACAGTAATAGGATCTGGTTGTGAGGTTTTGGTCCTGAGCTGTAATAATTAGGCCTTCTGTCTCAGTTTTCAGCCCGGTGCTTCTCAACCCCTGATGTGTTTTCTGTTGGTCCTCATCCGCTTCTTTCCTTTTTTAGGTATTTGCCATGGAGCATCTTGTCCTCACAATTTTGTTGTAATTTTATTTGGCCAACTTGTTTTGCTTTCTGCTTTACGCGTTCGGCGGAGTTGGTATTCGCCTCGTTTTTTTTTTTTGTTTTTTTTTTTGTTTTTTTTTTGTAGGATTTCAGGTATATTAAGCTGTTTCGTGAAGAGTGTAGCTTCTTTGTTGATTGAGTGATTTGATGTTTTACTATATGTAGGGGAGGGTTATTGCTTTTTTTTTTTGAGGTAGGCTTCTAAATCCGATTGTTGTAGCTTTTAGAGTTCAAGTTGGATCAGACCTCGGCCTCCTAAAGCTCTTGAGGTTGATATGCCGTAAACCAAAATAAACCAAACCAATCATAGCCAAAGAATACATACTCTATTCATACGAATCTATCCTAAAAATGTTGTCAGCATAAAAAGCCTATCAGCATCTAATTTCGGGTGGTGCGTCCCTATATGGGTAAGCATTTTTCTGGTTTTGGCGCCCAATCTTTTAATGTCATTCAACTTCCATTTAATGATGTTGAAGCTGTATGTTACAACGGGTAGAGCTAAGGTGTTGTAGCCTTCATTTTATTGCCCCCATTAAGTTCGCTTTCTAGTATCAAACGCAATCTCTTATAATAATCTTTTTCTTCATTATTAAATGTTGTATGACTTCTCATTCATTAATTTCTAAGTATTTGTACGTACCTTCTTGGTCTAGTTCTTTAATTTTGTTTTCGATATCAAGGTCTAAATCCGTAGTTTTCGTTAGTTAACCGCCTTTGAAGGTGGCTTTGCCACATTTGTGGATTCCAAACTTCATCCTCATGTTTTCGCTGAAGGTTTCAACAATGGTGGGTAAGTTTTTCTGAAAGTTGTTATCCTTGGCAAACGATTTAAGATCATCAATATAGAATAGGTAATCCAGTTTGCTATTCAGTGACTTGTATCCGTAGCTAGTGTTTTTCAACGTCATGGGTAAGACGTTAAATTACATCCGCGTCCTGTGTAAGACGTAAAACTACATCCGCGTCCTGGGTAAGACATTAAGCTACGTCCATCAGAAAGGCTACTGATCAGGAGGTTTTGAGGAGCGTAGAACCACCTCTTAATTGCTGGTGTTCCCAGGTCCACCCTGACCCGGGGTGGCAGCACCTGTTAGGGTCCCACTATGGGCAAATAGTTAACTATTACGAGCAATACTTTTTTGAAAAATATATTACCAGCAATACAATTTTGAAGAAAATATATTATCCGAACCAGATTCTTGACCAAACATGATATAACCAGCAATAAAAATGTTTGTAAGCATTAAATAACCCAGTGACGTTGATATGCCGTAAAAACAAATTAAACCAATCTAAACCAAAGAATACATAATATATTCATACGAATCTATCCTAAAAATGTTGTCAGCATTAAATAACCCATTGAGGTTGATATGCCGTTAAACAAAATAAGCTAAACTAATCTAAACCAAAGAATACATATTCTATTCATACGAATCTATCCAAAAAATCTTGTCGGCATTAAATAACCCAGTGACGTTGATATGCCGTAAAACAAAATAAACCAAACCAATCTAAACCAAAGAATACATATTCTATTCATACGAATCTATCCTAAAAATGTTGTCGGCATTAAATAACCCATTGAGGTTGATATACCGTAAAACAAAATAAACCAAATAAACCATACTGTTTTTCAGTAGGCAGCTGAGTGGCGCTAATGCAAGGGAGAAGATTAGTAATGGTAATGAATCTCCTTGGAACATCCCGCAGACCGTATATATATATATATATATATATATATATATATATATATATATATATATATATATATATAAGCGTTTCACCCCAAGGAAGGCAGGAAGCCACTAGCATGCAAGGGGTTACAGAGAGCTGGATCGAGAGCAAAGAGGACTGATAGAGAAAAAGATGAAGAGAAGGATAGGAGATAGATCAATACATCTGGGGACGTCGATTGACATTATATTTGAATATTTGAAGATTATAGCAATCAGGGAAACAGGAAAAGGGGAGGGAGTTCCACAGACGAGGAGTGCGAGACATGAAGCTATTGGAGTACGTGTCGCACTTCTCGCAACTGTATCCAATGAGGATGGACTCAGGCAAGAAAAAACTTCTGGCGCGACACAGAGAACTAACCTACCTTGCAGTAGAAGAAGCTATCAATTCAATATGGTTGTTCCGCCTTTTTCCAAGATGGCACGATCTGAACCTAATTCTGCTTACTCTAAAATTGTAATGTTCCACAAAAATAGGATTGAGAAGGACAATTATTTTTTTTGGACTATTTTCTACCAATCATATTCAAAGATTTAGAATTTGAATAAATTTAATAAACTACGCGTTTCTCATGAACGCATTGGAAGGGATATAAAAAAGGAAAAAAAGAATGGTATGAATATAGAAGACATTTTACGCAATGTGTTTCTCATTCATTGTTTCGGTGATCGGTTAGTATTTCTATCTATCTATCTATCTATCTATCTATCTATCTATCTATCTATTTATCTATCTATTAAAGACTGCTCATTATCTATCTATCTATCTATCTATCTATCTATCTATCTATCTATTAAAGACTGCTCATTATCTATCTATCTATCTATCTATCTATCTATCTATCTATCTAAGACTGCTCATTATCTATCTATCTATTAAAGACTGCTCATTATCTATCTATCTATCTCTGCTCACACTATCCAAATTTTCACGTTTGTTTTTTTTTTTTTGTTTTTTTATCACATTGAAAGTCACATAATCACCTGCACAAGCACGTAGATCAATTGACAATGCACAACTTTTACTTCTGCGATAGGAATTTAACAATGGCGAACCAGTTGGCATTCGGAAGGTTAAAGAACAATGTTTTGTTCTCCTTAGCAAAAACAGAAAACATTTTTTTAAATTCCGAACCGTGTTTACTCGGGGAGAAGAAAATGAAAACAAATGTTGACACCACACCGACGACGTAAAGTATACTTAATTTTTTTTATTTTACAGTTTCTTCTGCAAAAATCGGTCTATCTACGAGATTAATTGCATGAATTTTCCCACAGGAACGTAAAGGCGTCTGTTGCTATGATGACAATAGACGTGGAACTTTCCTTCCAATTTTTTTTTTATTTGTCTTCTGGCAGATAGAAGATGAGATATTATTTTCGAATGTCTATCCACTAGGTTTAATTTCGTGCCTGAAACGTAAACAACAGGAATATTTAAAGGATGAAATTCAATGTCTGCTTGTTGATGTTGACGAAGGTTTCTGCTTGGTTGGGTGCCACGTCTTCTGACATCTGATCAAAAGGCGGACCAGGCTGATCACATCACGCAGAAATGTAATATGTTTTGAAGCAGATACAACTGGTTTCGTTAAATGTTTACTAAGCCAGGATAGTGTAAAAAAATGACGTCACACATTATGACACTTATTTTTTAAGACATTCTATTACAATTTCTCGGACATTCAGGTCGTTGAATGTTGTTAATACTGTTTATTATAAACAGAGCATTTACTTAATTATTTGTATCTATGAAAAAAAAAGAATGTATAAACATAAAAATCTATTAAAAATAATTGTCGAACTTTGTCCATTTCATAATGTGTGACGTCATTTATTTACATTTGGATACGCATTGAGCAGATATGAATGTACGTGAGAGAATCATGGAATATTGTAGTTTAAAAACAGTAAATTTGATCTTGCTGACCGAAACAATTCTCTGTGGCCAAATCGGTAAAAGCACGTCAGACTATATGACGGTTCCGTATAGGATACAGGTTCGATTCCTGTCGGAGGACGCATATGTTCTATGGCAATTTTTCGGACATTCGGGCCGGTAAATGTTGTTAATACAGTTTATTATAAACAGAGCATTTACTTAAATATTTGTGTCTATAGAAAAAGAATGTATAAACAGAAAAAAGGTCTTAATATATATATATATATATATATATATATATATATATATATATATATATATATGTGTGTGTATGTATTGATATACATTTTGGTGACGGTGTAATGGTAGAGTGTTGGATTGAGAAATATAGGCGTGTAGATTACAGTCATTTCTTCATATCTCTATCTCATTCACTTTTCAGTGGGTTTAGATCTATCTATCTATCTCAAAGCAAAGTGTGTGTCGTTAAGCATGGATAGCTAGTTTAGCGCCATATTCTGTATCTCCCCTGAAAGACTCCAAAGACATTTACCAATCAGCATTTTAAATATTGATTTTCAACTCATCTCTTAAGGTTTTTTTTTTATTTCTTTCAATGCCACTATTTTATGCGGCCTTGTGCCAGACTTCACTAAGTTCATTCGCCTTTTTGAAAAGACAATATCTCTAGCTAAACCAAGAATAACTGCCAGATGAACTTCTGATTCCCAAAAGACTGGAACAGTCTCTGAAGATTTTTTGAACTATCAATTTTCGTTGCGTTGCCTTGATGACATCATTTATCGTCGAAAGCCAAAACGAAGGCTTTATAGATTTCGATTTCCTTTGTGAGCGTAGAATATTCCATCTCTCAGCGCTGCTTAAAAAAGTGTAGCCTCAGAAATCATCATAGAATGAATACAAAGAATACAAAGAGAGATGGGGGAAGGAGGGAGAGAGAGACACCGTAAACTTAGGGATAAAGGAAAGTATGGAAGGAAAAAAAAAGGAAATACAAAACGAAAAAAAAGAAAGGATATTATGTTGGATAAGGCAAAGAAAGAAACAAGGAAAGAAAGAATCTTGGCTAATACAAAGAAAGAAAGAAAGAAAGAAAGAAAGAAAGAAAGAAAGAAAGAATACCATACTGGATAATAGAAAAAGAAAGAAAGAAAGAATCTAGAATAATACAAAGAAAGAAAGAAAGAATCTAGAATCATACAAAGAAAGAAAGAAAGAAAGAAAGAAAGAAAGAAAGAAAGAAAGAAAGAATACCGTACTGGATAACAGAAAAAGAAAGAAAGAATCTGGAATCATACAAAGAAAGAAAGAAAGAAAGAAAGAAAGAAAGAAAGAAAGAAAGAAAGAATACTGTATTGGATAATTCAAAGATAGAAAGAAAGAATATTATATTGGAAGAAAGAAAGAAAGAAAGAAAGAAAGAAAGAAAGAAAGAAAGAAAGAAAGAAAGAAAAAAAGAAAGAAAAGAAGAAAGAATATTGGATAATACAAAGAAAATAAGAAAGAAAGAAAAAATACCATACTGGATAATAGAAAAAGAAAGAAAGAAAAAAAGAAACTGGAATAATTCAAAGAAAGAAAGAAAGAAAGAAAGAAAGAAAGAAAGAAAGAAAGAAAGAAATACCATACTGGATAATAGAAAAAGAAAGAAAAAAAAATCTAGAATAATACAAAGAAAGAAAGAAAGAAAGAATACCGTACTGGATAATACAAAAAGAAAGAAAGAATCTGGAATAATACAAAGAAAGAAAGAAAGAACGAAAGAAAGAAAGAAAGAAAGAAAGAAAGAATACTGTATTAGATAATTCAAAGATAGAAGGAAAGAATATTATATTGGAAAAAAGAAAGAAAGAAAGAAAGAAAGAAAGAAAGAAAGAAAGAAAGAAAGAAAGAAAGAATATTGGTTAATACAAAGAAAGTAAGAAAGAAAGAAAGTAAGAATACCATACTGGATAATAGAAAAAGAAAGAAAGAAAGAAAGAATCTAGAATAATACAAAGAAAGAAAGAATACCACGCTAGATAATAGAAAAAGAAAGAAAGAATCTGGAATAATACAAAGAAAGAAAGAAAGAAAGAATAGCATACTGGAAAATAGAAAAAGAAAGAAAGAATCTGGAATAATACAAAGAAAGAATCTGGAATAATACAAAGAAAGAAAGAAAGAAAGAAAGAAAGAAAGAAAGAAAGAAAGAATACTGTATTGGATAATTTAAAGATAGAAAGAGTGAATATTATATTGGAAGAAAGAAAGAAAAAAGAAAGAATATTGAATAATACAAAGAGAGAGAGAGAGAGAAAGAAAGAATATAGCATGGAATAATACAAAAGTAAGTAATGAAATGTAACTAAGTAAAGTAAAGCAAAGTAACTAAGAACGAAAGAAAGACTATTCGATTGGATAATGAAATGAAAGAAGCCAAAAGAAAACAGGATTATTTCAATAAAAGTTAACAGAAAAACCATAAATGTAGGATATAATGTGTGAAAACAAGAAAACACTAAAAAGGAATTTAGCAAGAAAAAAATGAATGAAGAAAAATAGTCGTGCTTTCTCTCTCCCTCTCTCCCTCTCTTCACCTTCCTCTCTACCGTGCGCTGATAGCTCAGGGGTAAAAACCCCGACTGATGCCAAATCAGTTGGGTTTCTATCTCGGCTCGAGGCAATGAAATATTTAGCCACACTGATGAGCTGTGATACATTGTTTTTATATAAAGACGGGTCATTAATTTCTTAAATAATTTATTTATATTTCGAATATGAAAATATGCATTACCAGATTTGAAATATATATATATATATATATATATATATATATATATATATATATATATATATATTAAGACATGTCCCATTAAATTATTTTAATAGCCTCATCTCGTAATTACGATGAAGTTTCATAGTATCCTTATTAAAGGAAGAAAGAAAATCAGCATATTCATTTTATTCCGAATACTTTCGACATTAGCTCACTGTCGTCATCAGTGTCTTGCTTTTTCTTAGACAAATAATTGTTGTTTTCATCTGAAAATTAAATTTTTGCCTGTGAAAGGAAATACGAAAAAGTTATGTATTGTACAATTTTTAACTTTTGCCATGTAGGGACACGGGCAAACGTCAATGAAAGGTAAGTTATTGTAATGTGCATCCTATTAAAATTAACTAGGCAAAACTTGTCTAAATTATTTACTGAGATATGTCTTAGTGAAAACATGCGGCCAAAATAGCCGCAATTTATTCAATATATATATATATATATATATATATATATATATATATATATATATATATATATATAAAGAAATATAGTCTTAAGGTATGCTATATTTATGGAATAAAGTGCTCAATATCAGAGATAGTGCGTGTAAATATATAAAAGTGAACATAGAAGTCAACACTTAGAGGCGACAGTCTGTTTCATGCTATATGCAATCGTCAGGCTGCATATATATATATATATATATATATATATTATTATTATAATAGATTACAATCAAAACATGTTGCATCGCTACACAAAAACTTTCATGTTTCGGGACTATAATCGTTTCTCTTCGGAGATATAATACAAATGATTTACTTGGTAAATTTGAAAATAAATCATTACCCCTTTTGAAAATTAAAAAGTGGGAAACCATAATGTCAGAATTAAAAATATACATATTAACTAATTAAGAGTCTGATCTAAGCTAAAATAGGAAAAATGAAAAACAACTTCAGAGGGTGGAGGCAGGTGGGTTATAAATTCATGTCTTGATAAATTGACACTGTAGACATGTCAGCATCGGACATAATGTAGGGAAATCCAAAGTTAAGATTTGGTGAAGTAGACATAAAGTTATCTTGAACAAAAGTTATTTTAAAGAATTTTTCTAGGGTAACTTTTTAAAGGGACCGAATAGATAAAGTTAAAAGACATTTTTTATGGAACTTTAATATACGATGCTAATTATATTGAATGCTAATTATATTGACTGGGCAGTGAAACAAGGCAATACTAAAGTTGAAAAATGCAATAAAAACTTAGTAGACCAGTATATACTCCAAAAATAATGTTTACGTAATTACAATGCATAAAATATTTATGAGGAATTCTTTTAACTGTAAAATTTAGAGAATGCCTACATAAAACTGTTAATTCATTTCTTTGGTTTAGCAGAACTTTATTTTTAGGAAACTTTATAATATGCAGATTTTCTCGTAAACACAGGGGAGATGGCATGGGTAATATAAGGATTTAGAGATTCTCGCTTTTTAATATGTTGGAAAATATTATATTTTGATATATATGGAAATATAAAAACAAACGAGAATATTCCCGTTTTTCTGTATACACACACACACACATATATATATATATATATACTGTTTATATATATATATATATATATATATATATATATATATATATATATATATATATGGCGGACGTATGAAAAAGCAGCCCAGTTTCTAGGAACCGACAGCCAGACACCTGCACATATGATTTGATTATAGGTGTAGAGGATTTATGCAGAAGCAACCATACTCTTTGAAGGGCCAAATACAGAGACCTAGTGCATTGAAAGGTATTAATCTTTTTCTCCCTCCAGATATGGGTAAATAGCAGGACAGACTAGGGTTCTATAGCCTTGGATAGGAACTGGTCAAAGAGAAGAATAATTCTGAATTCAAAACCTGCGGAGGGTCGTTTGTGGCTATATATATTTGCATATATGTATGTATATGTATATTTACACACGCACACACACACACACACACACACACACACACACACACACACATATATATATATATATATATATATATATATATATTTAACAGTAAGAGAGAGGTTTCATTGAAGGTGGTTTCATTAAGCTTTTTCGCCTACAGGAGAAGTTAGCAATAATAATATTTACAGACACAGAATACTACTGAATGAAAGATCAGAAACAATGAGACTATGCATACGCACTAAAAAGTACATTTTGTGTTCGTACGAACCAGGATGAAAGTACATACATTTTATTCACTCCCCGCCCCCTTCAATACAAATTAATATTGTTGCTTTTCTCCTCCCCTTCTCTTTCACTTCACGTTAAGCATTTATATATGAATAATAAAGCGTTAGGAAATCATTTAGATCGAATTGCCTGATGATACCGAAGGGTTGAAACCAAGGTAGCGTGAGTGGTTGATCTAATTTTTAAAGGTTTTAAATTTATATATATATATATATACATATATATAAAGATTTGTACCCACAGAACCTCAGAATTGATTTAAATAACAGGGACGCCATTTTATTAATCAAACCTTCTTTTTTTTAATTAAATATAAAAAAATAATAAAAAACGTTTGATTAATAAAATGGAATTATATATATATATTATATATATATATATATATATATATATATATATATATATTAGTTAGCAAGCTTGTCTCGCTAGAACAATTACGACCGAGTAGTGAGTTCGATCCTCACTGGGTGCCCCATGATTTCGGCCTTGTGCCACATCTAATCTACGCTTGAGAAATCACTATATATATATATATATATATATATATATATATATATATATATATATATACCGGAAGTCAAATGGATATTATTAAAGAAAAGGAGAAAAAAGCAAATATATAAAAAAATCGACGCATCCTATACAAGCACACAGACTGGTACATGCGCACAATTCAGTCTACACAGCCACACGCAAAAGTTGCACTGATGAGAGTGCACATAAAAAAGAAAAAATGAAAAATATAAACTGACAATTGCTGCTACCCCCGTGATTCCTGGAGGGTACGTCTACGGAAATCTTTTACTTGTATTAATTTTCTCTCTCTCTCTCTCTCTCTCTATATATATATATATATATATATATATATAAATATATATATATATATATATATATATATATTTCGGTACAAAATCTAAAAGGAACATAGGTTTATATTCTATGACTGTGGCATCGAATTTAGCATCCCGTAGCAAAATTCGCATATGTGCAAACATAATACAATTACGATTTGTTCTTTCCAAAATCCAACAGATTCTGGTTGACAGTTCAGCATTATCCTTTCAGAAAGACGATTAAAACTCAGGGAAACCTTTTAATTCGGTGAAATGTAATAGACACTCAACAAAAGCTATTACCATGCACGCGAACACTAGGCCCATTTTACCCATGGTATAAGCCAAATTTTTCATTAGTTTATAGCAGTGAGTGATGGACAATCTCTTCAGAAATGATGAAGAAAACTGAAGCAACAGAAAAATGCTGTGAAAATTATGGACTGAAGTTCTAGAGACACTTGCAACAAAAAGACGCTTCTGCTTAACATCAGGAAGAGACAATTGCAATTTCTGGATAACATAACAAGTAAAGAGGACTTGCGTAATCAGATACTCACAGGACTATTTAAACACAAGTGCAGAGAAATAAAAGCAGCACATAACCTACCTGACGAGATTGAGTGTAAATGATGGCGGACTAGGGTTTAGCATAGAGGGCAGAAAGACAAAATTTATTAGAAGCTACAAAGGATAGGAACTTGTAGGGAAGACTTAATCCACGATATCCTGAAGGTACACGTTACAAAGAAGAAGAAGAAGAAGAAGAAGAAGAAGAAGAAGAAAACTGAACTATTTGATACTGTTTTTTTATGCATGATGACGGTCGTCTTCGAGTATAGAATCCAGAGGCTAGCAGTGAATATTTCGAAGACAGTAGGAAAGCGTTGTTCAGGTTAGCAGTGGATATTTTGGTAAAAAATAGCAGAGCATAGTTCGTCCTTCTGGTTCTCTTCACCTGACAAGCTGGACTGTACATTCGGGTAGAGTAGACAAAATGGCCGCCTTTATACGGATTGAATATTCTTCGTCTTCTGATTGGTTAACCTTCTATTGGTGGACTATAAAGTGAGTCAAGTCATTTTGACTGGCTCACTAGTTATATATATATATACACACAAAAAACTGAAACAGTTTCGACGTCTGTCTATATTTTTGAGTTAATGTATTATGTACACTATTTACATTATTCGGACTATTGTCCCCATCTTTGTCGCCATATTTAGTACAACGTTTCGGCCGTTGTACGCTCCGGCCTTCTTCTAACTTACGCCTTTATCCACTTGAGTTCACATGGCACAGTGGATAAAGGCGTTGGTTAGATCCAGTGACAGGACCCAAAGTGTTTGAGTTCAATACCCGGTTAAGGCAGTGGAGAACTTTCAAAGAAAAATTAACAGGAGATAACTGATAACTGACATCCACCAAACATGGCATGTGGAACAAGAACAGTTTACACCAGTGAGCGAAATAAAGGGTTCAGTTCGACAGTCCAACCACCTGAAAAAGGCCGGAGCGTAAAACGATCGACACGTTGTAATATATATGGTGACAAAGATGAGGACAATAGTCCGAATAATGTAAATAATGGTTTTGACGTGTCTTAAAATATTTTAAAGAATTAAAATTTGCTACAGGCATCATACACTACACAATGACAACAAAAATATTTTTTAGTTGCAAGCGTTTAGATTTAGAGGCCAATAGGTCGGTGGTTCGATTAGATTGTATATTCAATTGGGTGAATTTGCTCGTGAGCGATCGTCGGGTCATTGCCCCGCACCCTCTATCGTCAGCTGTGATAAATGAGACTTTAATTGCCAGTTCAATATTTTCAATAGCTAGTTTGTAAGGTATCCTTTCATCTTAGCAACTAATGTTCTATGAATAGCACTCAACGGCAGCTTTCTTTATACATACAGTATTTCCTAATTGCAAGTATTGGGAGTGGAGACATCGAAGCAATCTTTTGTTCGCTTTTGAAGTTACCTCTTTTCAAAACCGTGTCATTTTTACGTGATAGAGGTGTTGCCATCGGAAAAGGTAGCCTTATATCTTTTCAGATCTCAGATTTAGAAAACCCTTCCAAATTAAAAAAATGTTTTACTTAAGGAATCAGCATATATACTAGGCCACAAATATCTCCTGAGCCGACCAAGCATAGAAATAAATACAGTATGAGAAAAGCAATGAATAACTACAAAAATTGCAATATAAGCTCTGGTCAAAAATGCAATAATAATAACAGAAAATTTCGATATGAGCACTGGTAAAAATTGTTGCTGAGAAATTAGGTTTAGAATTCCCAGAAATTCATTCACAGATGTCCTCAAAGACACATGTCCCAATGGACAAAAAAGTTGGTTAGATCCAGTGACTAAACCCAAAAAGTTGCGAGTTCAAAACAGGCCACAGAAGTGGTGAACCAAAACTTGCAGTGTTGAGTTAAAGGGAAATAACTGAGACATACGGAATAGGCATGGCATGTGGAACTAGAACAACCTACCCTGGTGGACGAAATAAAGGGTCCGTTCGAAATTCCAATCACTTGAAGAACGCCGGAGCATACAACGGCCGAAACGTTGTGAATATGGCAAGGAAGATCGAATAATGTAAATAATACAAGTCATCATAATACCTCATCAATTAGCATAATTGAAAAAATAGAATTAGACAGAAAAGATAACCTTAGAAAAATACTAGTGGAACATGAAGACAAATGGATTTTGTACCTCAACATATATATATATATATATATATATATATATATATATATATGTGTTTAGATATAGTTAACAATCTCATATACATATTTAAATGTATATTAATGTTGGAATTAACTGTTTTAGTACAAAAAAATAATTAAATGCAATATCAATCGCTATCTGCTGTCCCCCAGATGAACCTTATTTTGTTCTTGCTCCTTAGTAATGTTTCTGTTTTTAATTTGTCCACACTAAGTAACCCCTTGTGTGTTAGTGGCCTTTTGCTTTCATGTCAACTTTAATCTTTAAAAATTTAAATGTAATGTCAATCGATATCTACTGTCCTCCTGACTACTCTTTTCTCTTGCCTTCCATTATTAAAGTTTCTGTTCCTAATTCTTCCACATCCAGTAGCCCTCTTTTGTCTTAGTGGCTTTACTGCTTTGCTTGGAGTGAAATAGATTTTTAATAAAAGTTTTTCATGAAAACTGGCTTCTCTAACCCACTGTTATCACTCTCTCTTGTACAGATTGGAATTTCCTTTCTAATCTTTTGCTTGTGGAAAGTTAACATCCCGATTAGATCAATATTAAGAATTCTATACTAAAAGTCATTTTAGCGTGAAATATGGTTAATATGACGGAAATCCTGTAATTATCCAGATTCCTGTCTAAAACAGGAGCGGATTCTTTTGACTTAACCTCGCATATATCCACTTCCGGACTTTTTCTGGAGAACACAATATATTTTCCAAGATTAATCTGGGGACCATTCTCGTATTTTGCTGTGTATTCTTAAGAGTTAATCTGGAGCCAAGTTCTTCATTATCGGTGCATAGTCTGGGGATAAAACTCCCATTGGTGAAGCGTAACATGTGGACCATGTTACATTACGGAGTTGATTATCGCTGAAACATTTCTTGTCTAAAATGTTTATAACTACAAACGCTCTATTCCTGAAATTGACTATTCTTACCAATAAAAATACTAAGCTATATATATATATATATATGTAGGAAGAAAGTGTGTGTGTGTAAAGAACGATATTTTTTCACTGGGAAAACATGATTTTGAACGCCTTGCAAAAATTAGCATAATTGAAAAAATAGAAATAGACAGAAAAGATAACCTTAGAAAAATACTAGAGGAACATGAAGACAAATGGATTTTGCGCCTCAAACAATTTATCCACAAGGAGATAACCACAAATTTAACAACACAAATAGAATTAATATATAATCCCATAAATAATGCCATGCCCACGCAAGACAGACATGCTTGTAGTGGTGTTGAAGTCTCACACACTCACACTTACATATATATATATATATATATATATATATATATATATGTGTGTGTGTGTGTGTGTGTGTGTGTGTGTACACATCACACACACTTCCTCAAAAGTAAAAGTTAACATACACTTAACACGCACATTCCCTTCCTAGCAACTAATAAAACTGTCAAAAAGATCGAGGAGGAAATTGTGAGATAGATTTAGGAATCTCCCAGCCTAAATTTTATAAAAAATTTGGCCGTTTAACCAGTACAAGGACTGTCCCAAATTAACGATAAAAAACAAATGCAAACTACAAATACTTAATCAGAGACAGTCATTCAAGCTTGTATTTCATTACTACTAACAAGCCGGGTTTTTTCTTCTCCTGATGATGGCTATGCTGGTCGAAACTAGACGAGAAACCCAATTGAAATAACAAAAAATATTAATATTTATCATATATATATATATATTGTGACGAAAGCAGATAGCCTAAACACGCATATACTTTAATTTCCGCCTAGCAACAGAATAAAGGTCACGTGGGAGTCTTATGAAATTCTGGGAAGGCAGGTCAAAAGGTTGACTGACCCAATTACCCGTAGCGACAAATGTCTAGACAGAAGCTAGACGAGGTCTGATGTAAGCTGGAATTCGCGCCAAAACATAAGACACGTGATAGTCAGAGATTCACTCAAGAATCAGTTGCTATCTTGACTTTGAAGAGGCAAGACCTGAAGTCAAAGTGCTGATAGTTTATGAACGGAAAGATAAGACTAATTTAATAGGGATGGAACATATCCAGTTCAACCCAGGCAACTCCGGACAAGAAATATAACAAGAAGTATACTTGTTCGAGAACCCCAAATTGAAGACGCAGAGAAATTTATACGCTGAGGATTCAGCCTGCGTTTAAAGAAAAAGGAAAACCAGCGAAGAAAGCATATATCTCTGTTACAAGTTGAATTGTGTAAAGAAAAGAAAAAGGATATCTAAAGAGAGGAAGAAAGTGTATACCTCTATTACAAGTTGAATTGGGTAAAGAAAGAAAAAGGAAAACCAGAGAAGAAAGTGTATACCTCTGTTATAAGCTGAATTGTGTAAAGAAGAAGAAGGAAAGAAAGAAAGAAGAAAACCAAAAAGAGGAAGAAAGTGTACATCCCTGTTGCAGTGAGTCGGGTTTGGAAACCGAACTGTCTACAGAAGAAAACGGAAGGAAAGAAAAAGGCAAAACAAATAGAGGAAGAAAGTGTATACCTCTGTTACAGCCGGACAGTGTGTGAAATTGTGTTTGTGTCGAGAAAAGAAAAGAAAGGACACTGATAAAAAAAAGAGAATTGAATATAAAAGATAAGTAATCATATTTTGGACCCGTAGTAGAAAGGTATACATACATCCATGAATATTATGTTCTTGCAAAAACCTTTCCACCTTTCCACATGTCAAAACAATAATTGTAACTCCTATCCCATCTCTTTTGTGTATGCGTTGGCTTCTGCATTCAATTCATACTTATATTTTTGTATGTTCGGGTTTAGTTGAATCCATTTGGTGTTAGGCGAATTTGGATATCCCAACGTAAGTTTGAGATCTGGTCGTCGGGTGTTTAAACTCATACTTATCTGTTCTTTTATTTTGATATTTGTATATTTGTACATATTAAAATTCTTGTATCAAAATCGCTAAGCCTTATAGTTCCTCCTTGTATTGTGGATCAGTATTCGCGTTGAAAACGAAGCGGACCTGGGAAACATTACTGTTAGATTTTCCCAATCGAACAGTGGTCTTAAAAATATTTTTTGTTTACCAATTGTCCATTGTCACGATCTGGGAGAGATAGCTCGTATCTCTCCACAGGTGTGAGAAATATATATCTCCTAGTCGCCGTGTGATCGCCTTATAAGCCCATTCGTCGACTGGGGCATATGACAATATATATATATATATATATATATATATATATATATATATATATATATATATATAAATAAGCGCGTGTGTGTCTGAGTTATGATATACGATAAACCTTAGACCATGGATTGCTGAAAGATATCGGATTGATCCATTTCATAAAATCTGCCAAAACATGGGATTTAAAAACTCTCTTCTTTTATGGACAGAAATCTTTTCACCTGCGACATAAAACTCCCCCGCACTCACACACACAGGCATACACAGACACACACATATATGTATACAAACTATCAAAATAACTATGTGTGTGTATGTGTGCCTGCGCATGTGTGTGTGTTGTGTGTGTGTGTGTGTTTTTGTGTTTGTATATTACATGGATTTATCTTTCAAGTAAATGTCTATAAACGCAAAGTTCTATTGACAGCGTCTCTTTGAAAATTTTTAGAACCGAGTGCTGCCTGAAAAGGTCAGAATGTTATTCTTCAAGAATTCTGCGAATAATCAAGACTTCGTTTGTTGCATGCCACAGGAATGACTCTTAAAGGTTGAACTCAAAAGTCAAAGATGTAAACACGGTGTAAGTAGATTCTTTTGCAACGACCTGCCTATGGTCAATGGTTTTTAACATGTATAACACATCAGGATTAAACGAAGTAAAATAAAAAAAATAAAAAATAAACAGAAAAGCAGGAGTGTGTTTAATACACAAAACATTTGAACAGATGCTCGTTTCTCACACAAGCAAAAAAATAACCTTCGGATCTATTGCGAATTTCCCAGATTTGGGCCTTTACAAGTGTCAGATCAGATTATAAGATTTTAAAGTATTTATCTTGCTATAATATAGTCTGTACCAAAATAAGTGCGTCTTGAGTATGACGATAAACTACATCCGCGTCCTGGGTATGACGATAAACTACGTCCAGCAGCAAGGCCTCTAATAAAGAGGCTTTGAAGAGCGTGGAACTACCTCTTAATTGATGGTGTTCCCCGGTCCACCCCGACCCGGGGTGGTAGCACTTGTTAGGATCCCAGCTATGGGCAAATAGTTAACCAGGAATCTGAGGTAAAGAGCATGATAAAATATTACCAGAAATACGTTTTTGAAGAAAAAAAACTATTACCAGCAATATATTTTTGAAAAAAAAAAACTATTTCCAGCAATATGTTTTCGAAAAAATAATATTATCAGCTATACGTTTTTGAAAAAATAATATAACCAGATATACATTTTTGAGAAAAAAATAATAACAAAAATAGATTTTTGACAAAACAAAAATATTGAGGTTGATATGCCGTAAATCAAAACAAAACAAATCAAACCAAACCAAAATTGACTATTGTTGCCACCAGTGGTGTTGTACGCCGTAGAAATTCTTGACAGAATCAAAAGATGAACCTGCGATCTTACACTATTTACATTATTCGAACTATTATCCTCATCTTTGTCGCCATATTTATCACAACGTTTCGACCGCTGTACGCCCCGGCCTTCTTCAGGTGGTTGGAATGTCGAACTGAACCCTATATTTTGCTCACTTGGGGAGACTATTCTAGTTCCATGTGCCATGTTTAATGGATGTCAGTTATCAGTTATCTCCTATTAATTTCCCTCTGAAAGTTCACTGACTTAACCGGGGATTGAACACACATTCTTTGGGTCCTGTCCCGGGATCTAACTAACGCCTGCAATGGCCGAAACTTTGTAATAAATATGGCGACAAAGATGATGAGAATAGTCCGAATAATGTAAATAGTGAACATAATACCTCATTTCAGAAATATAGACAGATATTGAAAGGCCGAAACGTTCTAATAAATATGGCGACAAAGATGAGGACAATAGTCCGAATAATGTAAATAATGTACATAATACCTCATCTTAGAGAAATATAGACAGATATTGAAAGGCCGAAACGTTGTAATAAATATGGCGACAGAGATGAGGACAATAGTCCGAATAATGTAAATAATATACATAATACCGCATCTCCGAAATATAGACAGATATTACAATATTACCTGTCATGATCTGGCATTTCGACCCCAATAAATTTCTAACACGTGAGAGATATTTCCTGTGTTTTTTTTCTATCCATATTTTCTGGACAATTGTTTTGTTGAGGTTTTTAGCTTCACGAATTTAAGTGTAGAACTAGATTGGCAGTTAGGTCTTATAATTTTGCTGTTGAAAAGGTTAAACGAAAATTCTAAGTTCTATTCTCACATAATTTTTCTCTCCCACATTTCTCATGTGAAATACTTTTCATGCTTTTTACTTTTCTGTTATAAACGATCTTCAAAAATCTAAAGGCAATGTCAATCGCCGTCTTCTATCTTTTTAAAAGCTGTGCTTTTATTTGTCCTTTCTCGGCAATAAAGGTTTTACCAGTTTCTTTCATAATTACCAGCCTTGACAATGTTTAAAGACGTTTACGCAGTCTTTTGGACAACGAATTCTTCTTCAGCTCTAAACCCCTTTCCCACAGCCGGAATGTCGTAAAGCATTCTTGCTACTCTATGTTTTATTGACGAGTGACATTGATTAATTTCACCGGTTCAGATGTGCACAACTCTGACTTACCATGACACGCACACAGAGTCGAATCACCGTCGTACCCTTCATATTCCATTTATAAGGAGGAAGTCCCATTCGTCGAGCTTCTTACCAAAAGCCGCTGCTTTGTGGACCCCGCCTCCGAAAGATGCTTCGTCGATAACTATGCTATTAACCTCTTTAGATGTAGGATCAGCCGTTATCTCTCCTATATATCATCATAATATACACATCTTGTCTCCTTTCCCAGCAGTAAAATAAACTCAGTTTGAAACCGTTGTAACTTGAGTGGCTCTTGTGCCTTGTAAAGTATGAAAAACAGTATAAAAACATATCTGAAGAAGGTTGAGAAAGCCATCAAGCGAAACGCTAATAAAAATAAATCTTAAATCTATACAACATTTAAAAAAATCTCAACATAAACATTGACTATAGAGATCAATTGTATTTAAGCTATTATCAGTTGTATTGTATTATTTGAAAGGTTTTTATTGGATACTCGTGTTTGAAAGAGACGAACCTTTTTTTTAAGTTAAAACAGTGTTTATTACATCCATCTGCAAACTCGAGAAATCTTAATTTAAAAAATGTGCTCTCTGGCAGGGTTCGAACCTGCATCCCCTCTTTTCCGGATAAATATCTGCTGTTTCATATCCCAAACGTAAACAAAGAAATTCCTGAAGAACTAATGGATTTTTTTTAATACGACCATTTCAAATCTGAAGTCACAATATGTCCTGTTCGGGACATATATTCCAGCTACCACATACCGGATAGGTTTTTATCATCTTTGATAGAGAAGCGTCTCATTTCGGGTAGAGTGTTGACTCTATTGTGGCATCGTCGGAATACATAGGCGTAACTGAGGAACATCATACAATGAGGTGCCCAGACTTGGGGAACAGATGTCCGTGGTTGCACGCCGTCATTGCTCTAGAGAGATGGGTCGGTGATCGCACCGAGGCCAGCGCAACCGACGGTTGCAGGGTTTCGGGGAATTTTTATTCTTGATCCGAGTGTAGGTGCTCGGGTTTCCCACGTTAAAAAGCGACCTTGTCTCAAAAATGGGGAGGCCAGCGTCAATATTTATACTATTGTAATAAGTGTAAATATGTAATCAGTGAAATACAAAATCTCCTAGAGAAGGTAGCGAAGGAAAGAGTGAAGAAGGGACTAAGTAAAAACTACAAGAAGACAGAATGAATGGTCATCAATAAAGGGATGAGACTGAAATGCGATTTACAGATCTGGAACACTAGAATCAAGCAGACACTGAATTTTAGATATCCGGGAAGCGTTTTGACAGAGGACGGTAAGTGCGACACTGAGATCCTTAGACGCTTTGGGACGGCTAAGGACGAATTTCAAAAGCTGGGCAAAGTATTGCGAAACAGGGAGATTTCTTTGGTAACGTAAGACAAGAATACTGAGCTGCTACGTGACATCTGAGCCTCTTTACAGCAGCTAATATTGGACGATTTCCTCTGAGATGAAGAAGAGACGTAGATGTGGTTCTTCAGAAGGATGCTAAGGATAACATGGAAGGGTGAGCAACGATGAAGTCTTAGAGAGGATGGAAACAA